AGTCTTTTAAGTTGGGAGATACTGAGCATATTCTTCTCTTGGTTTTCATAAGGCTGTGTTGTTCTTGTTAAGTGCCATTGAGTCAAGTATGACCCATAACGAACCTATGAATAACGGATCTGAATCCTGTCCTGTTGTGTACCAATCCTGACACATTAGAGCCCATTGCAGGAGCTACTGTGTCAGTCCACTTGGTCAAGGGTCTTCCTCTCCATTGTTGTTGACCCTATGCCTTTTTTAGCATCATGTTCCTGTCCAAGTAATAGCAACACGCCTAAAGTATGTGAGGCAAAGCTTTATCATCTTTTCTTTCAAAGATAATTCTGGCTTCTCCAAGACATGTTTGTTTGTTTAGTAGTCCATGGGATGTTCAATACTCTACTCCAACACCACAACTCAAAAGCATCCATTCTTCTGTCATCCATATTCATTTTCCAAGTCTCAGATGTTTAGCAAGTTACTAGAAAAACCATGGTCTGAATCAGATGCACTTTAGCCCTCAAACTTACATCATTATACCTCGATAATTTGGAAAGGTCCCTAACTGCAGATTTTCCCAGTGCTATATGTCTGCTAGTTTCCTGATTGCTGGCACCAAGATTGTTAATTGTGGATCCAAGTAAGATGAAGTTGTTGACAGCTTCAATTGTTTTCTACATCCGTCATGATGTTGTCTACAGGTCCAGTGGTAAGATTGTTTTCTTGACATTGAGATGCAATCCATATTGAAGGCTGTATTCTTTGATCTTCTGCAATATGATATATATTTACTTATGTTTTATTGACTTTGCAAAGGTATTATACAGTGTGGGTTACAATAAAACATGGATAACACTGAGAAAAATGGGAGTTCCAGAACACTTAACTGTACTTATATTAAACCTATGCATAGGCCAAGAAGCAATGGTTTTAACAGAACAAGAATAACTGTAAAATGTAAAATCAGGAATAGTATGTGCAAAGGTTTGTCCATACCCATTCTTTTTCAGTATCTTTTCAATCTGTTTGTTGAGGAAATAATTTGAGAAGTATGTTGTTGTTACGTGCCGTCGAATTGCTTGTGACTCATAGCGGCCCTATGTACAATAGACCTAAACAATAAATAAATAAATGGACAATAAACCCTGTTCTATCCTGTGCCAATCGCACTGTCTCTGACACACCCATCCCGAGTCAATCCACCTCATAGAGGGTCTTCCCCTCCGGTGCTGTCCCTCCACCCTCCCAAGCATTATGTCCCTCTCCAAGGACTGGTCCCTCCCTACAACATGTCCAAGTATGTCAGACAAAGCCCCAGAATCCTTGCCTCCAAGGAGCAGCCTGGCTAAACCCTCTCCAGGATGAGTCTCTTTGTTTTCTTGGCAGTCCATGGTACATTCAATACTCTTCTCCAGCATGACAGTTCAAAGGCATCAATTCTCCTTCAATCCTCCCTATTCATTGTCAAACTCTCCGATGTAAAACAAGTGATTACAAAGACCATGGCCTGTATTAGTGGCACCTTAGTCTCCAGAGAGACACCATTGCTCTTCAGTATTTTGGAGAGGTCCCTAACAGCAGACTTTCCCATCACAATGCATCTTTTAATTTCCTGGTTACTGGTTCCAAGAGTGTTGACTGTGGAGCCAAGCAGACTAAAGTTGTTAACAATCTTAATCTCTTCACCATCCATCCTGATACTGTCAATTGGTGGACTACATGAAAAAAGAATGTGGCGTCAGGATTGGAGGAAGATTCATCAATAGCCTGCATTACCCAGATGACAACAACCTTGCTTGCAGAAAATGAAGATGATTTGAAGCACTTACTAAAGAAGATCAGTGTCTAGAACCTTCAATATGGGTTTTTATCTCAACATCAAGACAAAAAAGTTCTTACCACTGGACCAACAGGCAACATCATAGATGGAGAAAAGATTCAGATTGTTGATGACTTCATTTTACCTGGATTCACAATCAACACCATAGTAGCAGTAGTCAAGAAATAAAAAAAAAAGATGTGTTGTATTGAGAAAATCTGCTATAAAGACCTTCTTAAAGTGCTAAAAAACAAGGACATCATTTTAAAGCTCAAAGTTATCTGATCCAAGTTGAGTTGTGGTTTTTATGGTTTGTTTTTTTTTGTTTCAGTTGTTTCCTATGCGTCTGAAAGTTAGATAAGGATGACTAAAGAACTGTCACTCAATTGTGGTTTTGATGAAGTACTGAATATTTCATGGATTGCCAAAGAACAAGCATATTTGTCCTGGAGTAAATGAAGCCAAGGTACGTCTTAGAGGCAAGGGTGGTTAAATTTTGTCTTACTAATTTTGAGCATGTTGTGAATAGGAGTCAGTCCTTGGAACAAGCTGTTAGGCTTGGAAAGGTGGTGGGTCAGAGAAAGAGAGGAAGCCCACCAATATGATAAATTAACATAATGACTAAACCAGTGGAATCTGGCAAGACAAAGACAATGAGGATGCTGCAGAAAAGGATAAAGTGTTGACTGTTGTCCGAAGGGTCCCTGTGAGTCCTCGTCTACTCAAGGTCACCTAACAGCAACAATAAACATCTTCCTGATGATATTCTCTGCTTAACAACAAAATCTATGAGATAATAAATGACAAATTTCATTCCATGTCCTCTTTGGAATTTCACTATGCCAATTCCCTATGCACTATTGCAACTCTTTTAAGATTATTTTCAGCAAATACCACCATAATTTAAGCATAATTTTAGTCAATAAATTAGTAAAATTATAAGTAATTCCTATGTCTTGCATGCTGTTTATATTTTGCTTTAGGACTATGTTGACAAAATACCTTTAAGTAGTAGGTTTTAAGTAGGTGTGGAGTGACATAATGAAAAGAATTCAGTGTGTGCTATAGCATTTGAGTTAGTCCCTCTTGTGTTATTTTTCTCACAAAATTATATTACCATATAATAAAACCACAAAAGAAGGTAACAAGGGGGCAGACAAATAATTAAGAAAGGAGACTAGATCTTTCTCTCACTGTTATAATTCCCTTTTTACTAATTGGATAAAATACTATTACCTTCCAAAGCATATATTCTGTATTTTATTATATATAAATCCACTAGCTCCTCCACTAGAGAAGGATGGGCAATCTCCTCCCCAGTGATTAACTGCCTCTGAAAACCTGCTAGAGGAATAACAATGGGTCAGTTTCAACTTGACAGCCAGCACACTACAGCAATACTACCTTTGTCTAATATCTTTATTATTAAGAATCTAAGACTTCAATCACATATACAACATATGAATGCAAATTTACATAAAAAATGAATATCACAGCTATACATTCAAATACATTATCTTCTAAAAAGTTTCACCTTACTTTAATATATTCTTAAACATGTTATTAAGAGTCATGTAGGTGAAAATAAATATACATGTAGTAAAAGAATTGTTCAATGTTTAACTCACTTCATAAAGAAGAGAGCACCATTTCTCTTCCTTATTTTTTAACATACTCTTTAAGGATGATAATTTAGAAAGTAATGAAATATGATATAATTTTTCTTTTATTTCATAACTTTTCCTGGTCTGTTGAGTATACTACAGGTGCTTTGTCAGGGACAGAGCGCCTGGACAGTGGAAATTATCAATACAATTAGTTGAAAAGTTGTTATGTATCATTGCAGCAGAACTTACTCATAGCTGACTATCTAATGGTTTTTTTACTGATAGTAAATCACACATAAGTTTATTACCTATCTATCATTTTTCCATGGAGCAGCTGATGGATTAAAACCATGTGCCTTTGAGTTGCTTGCACAATTCTTTACCACGAAATACCAGAGTTTTCTTGTTGAAAATTTAGTGGTTTGATTTCACCCAGAGGTGACTTACAAGAAAAGCCTGATAATCTACTGCCAAAGAAATCGGAAATTGGAAATCCTACAAAGCACAGTTCTCCTCTTACAGGCATGGAGTCATCATGAATAGGAATTTGACTGACAACTAGAGAAACCAGGCATGGCATACATGGTGTATCTCATGCCTTTAAACATCAGGCACCTTTCTCTCTAATCCAGAAAAGAATTGTAGAAGTGAGCACTTGACACTGTTCAGTGCCCAACAGACACAGAAATGATCATGTCAAATTGTTTCTAAAATTCTCAGTGTTTCTTAAACTTCTCCTTATTTCTCTTCATTTGTTTTTCTAATCACTCTATTACTGTTCTGCAACTAACCAATTGAGTCCAAATGAAATTTGAACACTTTAAATTGTCATTTGTATTTATTTTCTATAT